TTATGGACTAATTTTCATTTTTGGGTGAACTAACCCTTTAAGCTTTAAACCTCTTGACACAAGAGCACTGGAGTTCAACAAGTTCAACAGAACGCACGTGGTCCTCCTGACTCACTTCCTGTGCCGGTAACTCTAGCACACTGCTTTAGAGAAGTCACTTTGAATAGACATCAGAACAAAGGAAGATGTTTTACTATACACGTCAGTGCATCCCTATCCTCACAATCGTTATGAGAGCCTTGTTTTTATATCTGTCGTTTTCGATCAAGGAAGTAAACGGCACGTTTTTAATTTGTATGTATTGTGCGCCAAATTACACGAAGTCTTTACATTTCTATAAGAGATAACGTTACGTTTTTATTTTTTTCTTTATATTTAAAATGTAAAACATAACCAAAAAACGTATTAACGTTTAAGTAATAAAACATTTAATTCTCGAGTTCAAATACCTACCAAAATGAGACAAAGAAAATAACTTAATAGGCTTAGTGCTTAAACATACAGAACCAACGCACATCTAAATATTAAAATAATGATCCATAATTCTAAATGCTGTCAAAACACCGTTATCACAGACGATGTAAAACTCCAATATTTAACGATAATGACACCTCTTTATAAGTTAAACAAGTTTTATACTCAACATTTTCAAACTTGATTTTTTGTAAAAAATAAAATAAAATAACAAATATGAGGAAGAGGAAATCGTAGGTTTGCTGTTATTAGCGCTCTCACATGTCGACTTTTATGAGTCTGGTGAGAATGAAAAGCCTGTAAAGCGGGTGGGAATATTTATACTTTTCTGTCAGTTGTCACCCTGGAGCGCGAGGAGAAGTTTCGCTTCCTGTCACATCCCCATTGGCTCGTCTGAGAATCAGTGACAACCACATTGGCTGATTCTAACCTTTGAACAATAACGTCTGTCTCATAATGCTGTACGAGGCGGGTCGAACATGAGTAATGATGGATGTTAGTCATATGAAAAATTTACATTTAATATAGTTAAAGAAAATTACACTTTTTTTTATCTTTTGATATTTTTGTATGAAATAGGGTGTGTAGAACTGTACATAATTATGGGCATAAATGGCTGTTGTTGTATTTAAATATATGTATTTTGCGTTACCCTACCAGTTAATCAAATCTTTGACAATGTGCATATTGTTTATTCTTTGCTCATATAATTACCTGCCATTTATAAAAAACAAAAACAAAGGCAGAGTTTATATCATTAATCAGTCTTGGCATGAGGACACTTGGTAATTCATTCAGAACTGATTTTCATAAGTAAAGTACACCCAAAGCTTATCATTTTATGCTGATTATATGTTCGTCAGAAAACCACATAACTCTGGCTCAGGAATCATACTTTTGTATGAAATGTAATGTTATATCTGCACTGCCCCACATACTTACAGACTGAATTGATCTTATGGAAATGTTGCTGCAAGGAAAATAACTTCTCTTTTTTAAAACTGGATCATAAAGAATGAAAATAGTCATAACAGTCATAAAAGACTTTCATGAAAATGTTTTAATTTGCTGAAGCAATGAATGTTACTTTATTGTGTAGGCTAACGGTTCTCTACATGTTGTGTTCCTGTTACTTTCACGATGAAAACCAAGTTAGGAGAAACAGCTTTTTACTTGTATGGTAATTTCTGTCTCATTCATGACATACATCAGGAATACATTCCTGATGTACTCATACATTTTCCTCAGTATTGGTGTGGAACAAAGTATCATGTTGAAAGATTTAAAAACTTAAATAATTTTTTGCCACCTGTTCTATTGTTGATCATTAAATCACTATTATTGCTTATATCTGCTATAGCCTACATAAATATACACAATTTTAGACAACTTAATTAGTTTGAAAAGGTGGTTTATTTCAGATGTGCAAAGAATTGTTACAACATCATTTTCATTGGTTGTTATTCTCCACTTCTTGATTTTTTCCATTTCATGGTTCTTGCATGTTGCCCTTCATTCTGTCATTTAATACTCCTCGCCCTCCTCTTCTCCCTCACCCTCAACAGAATCAACACCGACCTCCTCATAATCTTTCTCCAGGGCAGCCATGTCCTCTCTGGCCTCTGAGAACTCGCCCTCCTCCATACCCTCACCCACATACCAGTGCACAAAGGCACGCTTGGCATACATCAGATCGAACTTATGGTCGAGACGAGCCCAGGCCTCAGCAATGGCTGTGGTGTTGCTCAGCATGCACACGGCCCTCTGCACTTTAGCCAGATCCCCACCTGGAACCACAGTGGGAGGCTGGTAGTTGATGCCAACCTTGAAACCAGTAGGACACCAGTCCACAAACTGGATGGTGCGCTTGGTCTTGATGGTAGCGATTGCGGCGTTCACATCTTTGGGCACCACGTCACCACGGTACAGCAGGCAGCAAGCCATGTACTTGCCGTGACGCGGGTCGCATTTCACCATCTGATTAGCTGGCTCGAAGCAAGCATTAGTGATTTCAGACACAGAGAGCTGCTCATGGTAAGCCTTCTCTGCGGAGATCACTGGGGCATAGGTAGCCAATGGGAAGTGGATACGAGGATAGGGCACCAAGTTGGTCTGGAACTCGGTGAGATCGACATTGAGGGCACCATCAAACCTGAGGGAGGCTGTGATGGAGGACACAATCTGCGTCAAACCTGAGGGAAGCTGTGATGGAGGACACAATCTGGCCAATGAGCCTGTTGAGGTTGGTGTAAGTAGGACGCTCAATGTCGAGGTTCCTACGGCAGATATCGTAAATGGCCTCATTGTCTACCATGAAGGCGCAGTCAGAGTGCTCTAGGGTGGTGTGGGTGGTCAGGATGGAGTTGTAAGGCTCTACCACAGCGGTGGAGACCTGAGGAGCGGGGTAGATGGAGAACTCCAGCTTGGACTTCTTGCCATAGTCGACAGACAGACGCTCCATCAGCAGAGAGGTGAAGCCAGAACCGGTTCCACCACCAAAGCTGTGGAACACCAGGAAACCCTGGAGGCCTGTGCACTGGTCAGCCTGAAAAAACAGTATGGTAATTAACCCAATATAATATATCATTAATTTTGTTTGTTTGTTCATTTGCAACTACCTACCAGTTTGCGAATCCTGTCCAGCACCAGGTCAATGATATTATCACATAACACAATCAACTGCTGGTTTACTGGTAATGTCCATCAGCTGCATTAGTGATCAGGGACGGACTGGGAGTAAAATACAGCCCTGGATTTTCTCCCAAATAGGCCCACCACAACTACAAGCAGTCGCTATATCTCACATTATTCTCAAAACAAAAACAACTTTTAACCATTAAAAGCATTAAATTATGTTTTCCTGTAGTGTGTTTTGGAACATATTTTATTAGGATTTAGTGGTTTTAACAAAAGCCACCAGTAGAAACCAATAGGCACGATTACAGTTTCCATTAAAAACAATAATATTTTCATTATAACCAGTAAAACCATTACAAATTGTGTGAAAGAGCAGAACGCAAAATGTATAATATGACACTAATGATAAACATAGACCTAGAGTCTAGAAACCTGAAACAACAGATTTCTTCAATTTGAGTATTCATGTCTCTGTCTCTGTGTGTGTGTGTGTGTGTGTGTGTGTGTGT